ATATATATATATATATATATATATATATACTGTTTTAATGATTTAATTCTTCTCCTCTTCAATTACTTCTGATATTCTTGTCTCTTGGTTAAACTGTTGAGTTTCCCATCATCATGTGACTGTTTCCTCCTGCTGTGGTGCATTCAGGGACGACTCTGAACCTGCTGAAGTTCCCCATCATCAACCCGACTCCGTACAGGATGTTCAAGCGGCAGGAGCGACTGAAGGAGGCATCGCAGCAAAAGGAGGGCGAGCTGTCGCCGGAAGAGCTAAAAAGGCTGCAGTACTTCAGCAGGCAGGGATACTTAGTGGGTAAGTGGTGAAGGAGCAGGAAAGACGAGGAGGTGCTTCCTGTCTGAACACGTGTTTATCTCTTCAGGTCGCATTGGCAGAACATTCCGGGTTGAAGGATTCAGACCGAATGAGATCCAGTTTGATCCTGACAGTCTGGCATTTGGAGAAAACGAAGATGGCGAGGAGACGACAACAGGTGGGCGAACTGATGCAGGAGTCTGTCGAAAGCATTTTATGAGAATCCAAAAATGTTTAAGTGGTTATCTTGCTGTAACATGCTTTACCTTCTTCCTGTATTCAGCCTGATATTTACTTACTCCACAGGAGACTCCATTAATCTTCTCTCCCATCTAAGCCTCCAGTTGTGATGCTCATAAATTATTACAAGTCTTATAGAGTTTTACTACACTGCTGATTTGACCTTTGACCTCTGTGTGACGTTGCCTTCCAGCTGCCAGCAGGTCAACTGAGGAGCTGAGTCACAACGAGCTAAAAGACGCCCACTGGCTGTACGACACGCCGGGAATCATGAAAGAGCTTGATGTGAGGCTCATTTTAATCTTCAGGCTCGGAGCTAGTCCTTTAAGAAGACTTTCTTATGATTGTCCCAATTATTGTAGTCACCTGAGTTCATTCTCTAAGCAAATATCTCTGGAGTCACCCTTATACTTTCATTAACTATAAATCAGTGGCAGAAGCTCTGATTTTACATGTTAACTGTAAATGCCAGCCTCCACACAGCAGGGGGCACTGCTCCACTGAATAGACTTCTCCTCAGTGTGTTCCTGACATTGGATGTTCACAAATCTTTCTTTTCCTCTCTCTCTTTCTCAGATTCTAAACCTGCTGCATGAACAGGAAGTGAGGTTGGTGGTTCCCACCCAGGCCATTGTCCCGCGAACGTTCGTTCTGAAGCCCGGCACGAGTCTGTTTGTGGGAGCTCTGGCCAGGATCGACTTCCTGCAGGTGAGAAGAAGAAGCTGAACAAAAGAACTGAAATCCAACAACTGTGGCGAAGAGTGAAAAAGAGCAAGAGAAGCAAGCTGTTAGTCAGAGTGGAGGAGCAGCACCAGTGAGAGCGGACTCCATCTCCACTGAGCTGGATGAGCTAGTGACTGTAGTCCTTGAAGTTTGGGGGAGGGGGTACGGCAAGGCAGAACAAGGAATACTTTTGGATCAGAGTCCAATAGCGGGATGAGGCTTGCTAGAGAGGCCACTGAACGTATTCTTCAGTCATTTATTTATTAACGAGTACAGGTGTGGTCAGACGTTTTTATCCACTCACCGTGAGTGTGAATGTCACAGTTGGCTGGGGAAAAAATTAAAGGGAAAATCCAAAATAAATTTCAAACTTGTCAACCTTTTTTTTTCCTTTGAAGTCTTTAAAGATGTACAATAATTCCACTTTGGACAAAGAACACTTCAAGTTTCTGTTATCCTGACCACACCAACGAGCCAGTATCTGTTTAAATAAACCCAGATGTTGTTAAATAAATTGATACATTCATGATTGGAGATGTTTAAGGATTAAAAATATCACAGTGGCACATGGACGTAAGCCTGGGCTCTGAAACGGCACCACTGGTACTTGAACATGTGGATGTGCCTGAAGCAGCTGCTGCCACAAATAGAAATGAGCTCTTTGGTGCTTCTGAGCGATTAATAAGTGATTGATCAGCTGCTGATCTGCGCTGTCCTCAACAGGGAGAAAAGTCCTGCTGGTTTTCTGTCGTGGCCTCCGATCGGGTGCCGGTTCACATCACTAGCCTGGAAAAAGCCGACAGCATTTATGAGAAACACGGTGGACACGTGCTGCTGGGGGTGAGTTGCATGAGCCCTGCACAGTGCTGCTTTCAAGTGCCTGTGATTATTAATGCTTGTGTCCGTGCTGCGTTCAGGTGCCTGTCGGAGGCTCGGAGCGCATGAAGGAGTTTCCTGCATTGGTTCCTCAGGAGTTCAGTTTGGAGGGTCGGGGTTACCTGGAGGCTGCTGCTGACATCAAACTGTCATCTGCAGGTAAATTCATAAACATCACCTGCAGCACCTTCAGTGTCTCACCTGCCTCACCTGCCCATCTCTCTCTCTGTCTCTCTGCAGGCTGGGTGGCTGTGACAGCAGTGGAGGGCGATCAGCTACTGTTGAGAGTTCACGGGCCGCAAGCTGCAGGCTTCGGTTTGAGGACGCCGTCGCTGCTTCCTCACGTCATCTCTCTGAAAGGAGAACGTATCCGCAAGTCTGCTGCATACAAACCAATGAAAGCCGTGGGTCTGCTGCACAGCGGACTGTCGGCTGCAGGAACCGAGAGGCTGCAGGTGAAGAGGAAGAAGAAGAACTGAGCCAAGGGTAGAGGATGTGGAGGAGGCGCTCTAAACCACCAAGACTCTCTGCAGGTGGTTGTAGCGCCACATCTAAAGAACTGACCTCTGACCTCAGGGAATGTGATTCTGGATCAATTTGGCTTTGTTGGAGGATGTGTGTCGTTTTGTTAAATAAATATACATATTTCATACTGTTATCGTCAATGGCGTTTATACAGCTGGGTCTTAATGTTCTGACAGTGACAGGCTGAAATTCAGCCACAATAAATATGAATATGAGTATATGTTATACTATCGAAATAAAATTTAATTCACACTTTTAAACCAACATCCTCACAAACTGGGCCTCCAGTGCAGTTTCTTCACTTCTTTATTTGTGGTTCTTAAATAAATAATTCACTTGTTTCCCCCGAGAAACTCCTGTTTCTTTCACTCTGGTAGACTTTAACCTCCTGGACAGTGTTCATCATTTGTTTTGTTTTTTTCAGAGCATCTTCTTTGAAATGGTTTATTTTATTGACGTAGCTCATAAGTGACATTAGACTTTGTATTTCATTAAGTTGTATACTAATTTTCCCTGAGCCAGTTCTGCTAAAGGTCTATTCCTGGTAAAGGGGAGTTTTTCCTTTCCACTGTCACCAAGTGCTTGCTCATAAGGGGTCATTTGATTGTTGGGATTATCTTTATGTCTTTATGCTTGTTGTTGTGATTTGGCACTATATAAATAAAATTTAATTTGTTTTAAATGTAAGGTGTAAAATCAGAGGTCTAGGTGGAAATACCCTCACATTAAATCTTTTTACTATTTAAACTCGTATTCACAAAGATTTGTTGGCAAACCGTTAATTTGGGGAGTTTTGGTGTTAGCTGGTCGTGATGCTTTGATTCCATTCTGTGCAAAAACAAATCCATGTGTGATATTTTAAAATGTTGTCACCAGCATAGAGATTATATTTAAAGTCACACCAGATTTTCTTTGATGTCTGATTTTAAGGACTAAACAGGCTTTTAATAGACTCCGAGCTCCGGTTAATTCTGAATGTGTTCCAACTTTAAAAACGGGCAGACAGATGCTGAAGTTGCTGATAGTGTTTGGAAATCTTTATTTACAAAAAAGCAGAAGAAAGTACGTTACAGATTAAAGCTTTAATCGGTTAGTTTTTAGCTGAAGAGCGCACTCAAGCTGCTCACAATAACATCAGACAGTTAGACAAACATTTCTAATTTGATTTAAACCTCCTGACAGGAGAAGACGTTTCATCTTGTTAAACAGGCTGTAAACCTTTGTAAACGATAAAGTTGGTGTAATATTATCTGATCATTTTCATCACTCAGTTACTCTGATATTCAGCTGTACATGGGGCATGGTGGAGGCCAAAGTGCTCAAGTTGAGGCTTCAAGACGGAAACTAAAATACAAAGTCTGTAGAAGCAGGAAGAACCTTCTGATCGCAGTGTGAATTAGCAACAGAAGCTGTTTCGGGACTGACTGGACAGATTTTTTGGCTCACATAAATGTAGTGTCCTCTGAACGCAGCCCCAAATAAATTTTGTTCCTTTCTTTAAAAATATCATTTTCATCTTTCTGTCACAGTTCAGTTAGGCTTAGAGATGCCTGAGAGCGAAGACTCGATGAGCCCCAATGAGCTTAATTACAGAAAAGATCAAATAACACCATCCTCATCGTTAAGTTACAGAAACTACACAAGCTGCTGCTGACACAAACCTTTACAAGCAGTGACTCATACGCATGATGTCGTTTTCATTTGATAGTAATAAGCCTCTGTAATAATAACAGTCCTCGGATGATAATCACTCTGTACAGTCGGAAAGAAAACACTTTGGCGTCTCCACTAAAAGGAATATTGCACTGAAACTGTAATGAAAAATAACCCCCCAACCCCTAAGCATTAATGGAATTTAATGTTTTACTACAGCTGGTGTAATAACCAGATCTTTAATCAAAGCATTCACAAACTGGTACCAGGGCCATACTAAGGGAAAAAGGAATTTTGAGAATAAAATTCATCTTCCTGTTGGCGCCTCTATAATATGGCCTGTGCTGACAAATTTGCAAAGTCTGGTGAAAAGTATCCGGAATTCAGCTATTCCAGTTAGACACATTTGAGCAAACTCAAATAGCTGCTAATCCACAGATGCAAGAACATCAGTGGTCACAATAGTGAGAGGCCACCACAGGAAACGGTGAGACACTTAAAGTGTTTGATCCTGAAGGCGTGGGGCTCAGGTGCTAACCTGGCAATAAATGCTTTAGCAGGTGTGGTTTGAAGCCTGCTCAACACACACACACACACACTTTTTTTTGTGGAAGCACAAAATAATTGTGTGAGCAGGTTTTCATCCTTTCAAAAATCTGGTTATTTTAAGTAGACTTACTATTTAGTTTGGTTTTAATCAATCTTTTCCATAAAGTGGCCCTAACACTAGTCCCTAACACAAAAATGGCATATTCAGACCAAATGCAAAGTGAAGTTTAAGTGCAGCGTGATTACAAACAAAGTGTGGAAAAGGTTGTGAAGAACTGAATGCAAATTCAACAGATTTGCTTTGAGCTGTGTCGATTTTCCTGCAGACTGTCCATTCTCTTCAAGCCAGAAATGGAGGAAAAGCCAGTTGCTAAATGATTAGGAGAGTAATCGTAGGACTTCATTTGAATGTTACATGACTCCAGGTATTGGTGAGGTTTATTAAGAAGCAGTCATCCCACTGGCTATTAATATATGTGATTGTGAAAAGGTCCAAAAACATTCCAGCGACTCTGCTTCAGGTTTTGTTTGAACACACCAAAGGAGAAAAGCATTTTTCTGCAGACTTGAACCTTCAGATGACAAATATAAAAACAAATGAGAATAAGAGCGCAACATTTCAACAGCTGATTGTCAAAGGCACTGAATGTTTTTTTCTTTTTTCTTTTTTTAAAAAAAAGGGAAAAATTCCACTTTTACACTAGAAAATCTTTTTTTTTTTCCCTACATGGAGACTTTACGACACTGACAGGTTTCAAAAAGGTCTCCAGATGTTCTGTGGAGGTCATGAAAATTGATATGATGTTAAAATTCATTGTATGTGCAACAGCAGAGTTGAGGTGGACATGATCTGAGAGAGAGAAAAGCATATGTACATGCCAGTGTGTCGGCTCAAACTGACCCTACAGACCAGACCAGCATGTAAAAGTTCAAAAGGGTCTGAGCACCTAACATAGCCCTCTTCCAGGACTCCACAGGAGGAAGTCTTCAAATCAGCAAAACAAGAGCAAATCTGGTGATAACTGAATAGAATCAGCTGCTAAATTTAAAGAGTTGGTGCTCAGACACCAAATGATGAGACATTTGTTCAGTTTATACGTTTGTGCAGTCTTATTTCACACAACTGGAGTGTCTGCAATTTAAAGCAGAGATGGGTCCTAAAGATGCACAGTGTGCTGGATACAGCTCCTCATTTCTGGGAACTGCTGTCCATGTAGTAGACGTTCACCAGGTGGCGGTTCAAGTGGCGCCGATACTCCACCTCCAGGGGGAACGTGCGGTCGCAAAAGATGCACATGTGACTCTTTAGCTCAGTAGGAGTTGGGATCTCATCAGTGGGTGTTTCTGGGTCATTGGGCATCTTAGTTGACCCGGCGCCGTTGCCATTGAGGCCGGAGTCGTCGCTGCCCTCGGAGGCGCTGTCGCTGATGTCACTCCCTCCTTCGTGGCTGCTGTGGATGCCCTCGTCATCCTCAGGCTCTGTGGGTTTGCTTCGCTGCCCAGGGAGCACCAGAGAAGGTGGTGACTTGGGTTTTAGGAATGTTGGCGCAGGTTGTTCTTCAGCAGGAGAAGGCGTGTCCTCACCGGAGCTGCAGGTGGGTGAAATGTCCGTCTTCTCAGAGGGTTTGTTTGGAGTCTTTTCCGGCTCTGGTGGAGCATGTGTACTTGCGGTGGTTCTTGCTGCAGGGCTGTGTTCTGTTGGGTCGCTGTGAGCGGTTTCCTTTGAGTTGTCCAGATGAGGAGAAACTTTCGTAGCCTCTGAGCATGGACTGTTGATTGAAGTTGCTCGACCCTCTGCTGGCTCCACAGCAGGCTGAGGGGTGGGGGCTTTCTTGTTGGAGCTCCTCGTCTTCTTCTGCTTTGCTGGTATTGCCCCATTGGACTTGTGTGCTGTCAGACTGGACTCAGTTACCTTGCTGGTGTCTTGTGAGGCAGGTTTAGACTGAACATCCTCCACAGCTGAGGCTTTCACCCTCCTGGTCTTGGATGGAGTGCAGGGCTTGCTGGAAAGATCTAAAGCCTCCACAGCTCTCCTCTTTAATGCCTTTTCCTTGACTACCTTTTCCTTCTGACCTTTCTCTGGACACTTGTGTTTCTGTGGAGCTTGTTTGACGTGCTCTGCAGTCTTCTCAGACTTCTTTGTTCCAGACTTTCTGGCTTTGCTGGCATTTTTCCTGTCATTCTTCTGGTTTTCTTTCTCTTTCTCAGGCATCCCTTTTTGTTCCTCTTTGTCCAGCTTCTGCCTGGCTGATCTTGCCTCCTCTGGTCTTTGTTGGTCAGATTTCTCTCTCTCTGCTGGGTCTTTCTGGGTTATACGTGCTTCTGCTTGGTTCTGAACAGCTACTTTCCCTGTTGCAAGCTTCTTGGCTCGTCTCTTCACCTTGTTCTCTACACTTTCTGTCTCCATCTGGATTTCTTTAACAGATGCGTTCTCCACCGGACTCTCAGTGACCTTCTCAACCTTCTTCTGTCTTGTGATCTTTTTCTCTGGTTCCACTTTGTCCTTCGCTTTTGTCAGTTTCTCAGATGTGATGGTTGATTTCTTCTGAACCTTGTCAGGTGTTTCAGTCTGTACCGATTGGCCAGTGCTGGGCCGAGTGTTCTTTCTGATTGACAGATTGATAGGACTCGACTCCTCCTCCCCCTCGTCCATGTCCAGGTCTTCCTCAATGCTGGATGAATCATCAAGCTTATTTGCTCCAGAGTCTGACTTTCCCTCTGCACTCTCGGGACCTGGTTTCTTGACTCGCAGCTTGACTTTGGAAACATCCAGGGCAACATTGCAGCCAGAGTGCCTAGACTTGATGTGATACTGCAGGTTGCATTTCTTGGAGGCAGCATACTTGCAGAGGGGACAGAGAAACTGCCGAGGATTGAGGTGGAGTTCAACATGCTTCTTGTAGTTGCTGCGATCGGCGGTCTTGTACTCACAGTAGGG